CCTCCTCTGGCTCCTCCTCCTCTGGCTCCTCCTCCTCACGCCCCTCCTCCTCACGCCCCTCCTCCTCACACCTCTCCTCCTCACTCCCTCACGCCTTCCCAGGGGTTGTTCTGTCAATGGAGTCCTCCTTGGTCCATGGGAGTGTCAAATGCATCTCATACTTATTCAATATAGTAGTGACAGCGCCATTTATTGATCACCCCTGGTCCAACTCTCTTTCCATATTTCATCTCAATTAATTCCAAGACCCACCTTGAAAAGGTGTTATTATCTCCAGTTTACAGTCAGAAAAAGTGAGCACTAGGGGCTCACGTTATTTACACGAGATTACAGAGCTCCTGAAAGGCAGTGCTGGGATTAGAAGCAATGGTGAGCTGGTAATGCCCAGCTCCCCTGGGGACAAGGACCGGGGGATCATCAGAGCATGTCAGGCTCTGAGGTGCAGCATTTGTCATTATGCAAGCTGCAAAGGCTCCACTGTGGTCTATTTCAATCTTATGCCATGATGTCGACCGGCTTCAACACTCCTGAGAATTCAGCAGTTGGTTCTTGAGAGCCTGGGTGATGAGCCGGACCCTGCTCTGGGGTCTCAAATCCAACAGCAAAGCCTGAGAGCCCTGTAGACCCAGCTTCTGTGAGTCAGGCCCAGGGTGAAGCTCCAAAATATCAAAACAAGTTCCCCCCTCCCTCCAGGAACAGGATGCTTTCCCACACGCAAGAGGGGAGCGTGGTGACTGTGGACTTGATGGAGCAGCCAGCGTGGAAGATGGTCCTCCCTCTTCCTAGGTGCATATCCTTGGAAGCCTCAGTTTCCTCACCCATATATGATGCGCTCCCTCCCTCCTTGCTTTGTGAGGTTCGAATTTGTTGAGATCCGGCGGATGAAAGCCTTATGGAAACTAAGATTTGCTAGAGGGATGTACTCTATTACTGTTCCTCCTGAGGAAACCCTGGTGTTAAAAATGACCTTCAAATTCTCTGACAATTTGTGTGCATGAAATTGCTAGTGGGAGGTCGGTCATTGCCAGTGGGACGTGCAGATGAGACCCAAGGTTGTTCAGTGACCAAGCCGTTTTACTTGAAGCCCATGTCCCAAAGAGCCACCAAGATTGCATTAGAATATAATGCATTTTAATGGGGGGTGTCACTCAATGGGGCACGGTGAGGCCCTGGGTCTCTGGGATTTGCAGCTCACAAGGCAGCCCCACACCCAGGCCCGCCTCCTCCCACAGGTCCCTCTGCCTGGGTTGGTTTTCTCCAGACACCTGCAAGGCGACCCCTTTACTTTTTTCAGATCCTCTGTGTGAGGTCCTCTCTTATCTGCATGTTGCCCACATTTTCATCACTGTGTCCCAGCACTCGTAACCATGCCTGGCACTAGTAGTTGCTCAGGAAGCACTTGTGGGATGAGAGAATTGCTGTGCCCAGGACACAGGACTCGCACCAAGCAGCAGAGACAGAGGCAGGACGGGGTGGGGTCTGCTCTCAGGGAAGCAGCTCTGCTGTCAAGGCTACAGGTGCTGCTTCTCCTGGGAGAGCAATTTGAGGCAGGTAGTAAGTGAGAGAGTCCACCACGTTCAAGATCCTACGGCCAAAGTGGTATTTTCTCGGAAAGCCCATCACCAGGGACCATTATAAGACATTTTTCATGCTATTGGATCCCCGGTGAGACTCCTGCTGTGTCCATCCCCAGGGGGCAAGGTCATATGGTTGCACAGCATGGTGGCCTGGTCCTCAGGGCCCTGCAAGATCAAAGTCACACCGTGACTTACATGATCAGAGACTTTGCCACTTTTATCAAAGTCTTTCTACCTGGTCAAGTGGACACGCATGGCTGCCCATCAGCTAGCACACTCCACACTACATCCCCAAACTTATCCATCCTGTGAGTGAAACCTTGGGCATTCCCACCAACCCCACCACCACCACCGGGGCTCCTCTTCCGCCAGCCCCAGGTAACCGCCATTCTGCTCTCTGCTCTCTGTGTCTGACGTTTTCATGTTAGTCCATTTCCTGTGGTGATATAAAAATTGTAAGACTAGATAATTTATAAAGATCAGAAGTTATTTGACTCGTGGCTCTGGATCCCAGGGCCTGGGCAGCACCTGGTGAGGGCCTCCTGGGTGAGACAGAGCAAGTCGCTGTCTGGGCCCCTCCTGTCTCCTGATAGAGCCACTGATGTCACTGGGGGCCCCACCCATGACCTCATCTAACCTAGGTCCCTCCCAGAGGCCCCACCTCCAAATGCCACGTGTGCATGTGGAGATTAAGGTTCACACGTGAGTATGGACCACACATTCCAGCCACAGGGGCACCTGAGTGGAAGGGCCAGGCCCCAGCCTTCTGATCCCCCATCTTCCTACTCCCAGCTCCCAAAGTGAACCCTGCTCCCCTATCCCCTCCCTCTGGCTGCCTCTGGGGAAGACAACCCCACCCTCTGCTCTTGGTCCTCGGCCATCCTCCCGGACAGCCCAGCTGCCATGGTGCATTGGATGTTTGTACCTGACCCGAGGTTGGGACATCAGCCGAGAAGGTTGGAAGGAACGGAGAGGAAGGAACAGGAGCCACCTGTTCACCAGGGGGCTGTGTGACCCTTGAGGGCAGGGACTCTGCTCTTGAGCTCGTCCTTAGCTCTGCCCGATGACAAGTCGCCCTGGAGTTCCTGTTCGGGTGGGGCCAGAGCAATGGGATGGCGAGCTTAATGCTTCTGGAGGCAGGAATTCCTCTCGGTTTCCAGTTTTAATTGATGAGTCCATGACTCATAACAGAAGCATATTTTCATTCTGATGAGCAGGGCACACGCCTTTGATTTGCCAATATGTTCTGCAGGCTAGTCTGTGGCTGCTCACTCACCCCGAAGTGGGGAAATGGGCATTCAGTAGACATGCTCCCATCTCTTCATGCCCGCTGCCTTGCCACAGCCCTGCCCTTCCTGAGTGCCCACAGCCTGCCACCGAGGCCTATTCATGCCAGTGAGAGTTGTGGAAATGCTGCTGCAGAGAGATTGCCTGCTTTCCAACGGGCGAGCGAGCCTGTGATGCCCCAGGACATCTGCAGAGGGACACTGGAAGGCCCGACTGCCCGGGGTCTCTCCCAGCCTCAAGTGCAGCTGTTTGTACTTGAGAACCACCCATGCTGTATGGACTTGACATTTTCTTACCAATTGTCGTTTTTATTTATATGAGCTGGGTTTGGAAAACGTGGTATTTCCCCATAAATAAAAAACTAGCTTCTATTGCCCTAAATTGAAGCCAATCCTAAAAATACACACCAAGAAACTAACGTGATGCCATTAAAAGCTAACCACTTACCAAACCTGCCACCATTCTGAGCCCAGGACCTGGTCCTTCCTTATCTACCATGGAGACTGACAAGGAATAGGGACGTGGAAGGACAGTGTCACACGGAGCCTTGCCCTCCACGGGAACAGGAGTGGAACAGAGCGAGTGGCTTTCTTGCTCTGCATCCGATGCCACACCCAAGGCCCCCAGGTCACCTCGATGGTGGCGTGGGTGGGACACAGGCCACAGCCCCAGTGACACTGCTGCTGAAGCCCACCGAGTGCCGGCTGCCACCCTCCTTCCCCTCCTCCTCTCTTCCGCGCCTCCTCCTTTCTTCTGTTTTTCCCCCCAATGGTTTTATTCCAAACTTAAAGCTACTACTGCAAATCTTAAAAAAATTCAAGGCAAAATATGTTGCTAAGCAAGAAAACAGAAGGAGGAAAGAATCGATGTAGGGATTGAAAGTGCAGCTGAGGAAACACCCAAGCCCTGGTCGGCCCAGCTCCACCCCCGGGCACCCACAGCAGCGCCCTGGGTCACGTGGCTGAGACTGGAAGGCGGGGTGGCAGCCGTGCAGAATGGCTTCCCTTCCAAATGACTTCAGAAGCAGGAGGTGTCCAGCCTGCTAGTTGGTCAGTTGGTCCCTTCCCATGAGCAGGTGGACCTGAGAAATGGTCTTCACCTTCATGTTGCTGGGTCCAAGAGCCGTGCACACCTGCAGGCTCCACTCAGATGCAGGCAGGTGGCACAGGAGGGAGGCGGCAGTGCGGGTGGCTGGGGCTGCTCAGCTGTGCTGCCATCTGCAGGTGGCCTCCTCGCCTTCTTGTTTCCCAGAGGGGCTCTTTTTAATCACTGGAGTTGACTTTGAACTTTGTCCAGGCCTTTTAAAGAATCATCAAGATTCTCTCTGGCCACCTTCCCACCAGCTGATTTGCTGAGGCTTTGGGAGGAGAGAAGGCAATTGATTCTGACAGCGTTTTTCGGAAGATCACTCACTGGCCTTACTGGGAGCTTTCTGAATGAGTGTTCTTGGCAGGGCCTGGAAGACAGAAGTGAGCTGCCGCGCCTCACTATCTGGGGAGCCACCTGCTTTGAGGGGTGACAGGTGGAGATGGAGCTCGCAGCCCAGCACCTGCAGCCATGTGCTGCTCGTTCAAACCTGACCGTGTGTGTGTGTGTGTGTGTGTGTTTGTGTGTGTGTGTGTGTACGCACGCACATGGGCGGGGGTGGGGGGAAAATACCACACACCCTGTCCCAAGAGGCAGCCCAGGGGAGGCAGGCAGCCCAGGTGGAGGGGCGAGGAGCATGACGTGCAGGATCTTGGCTCCATCCTGTGCACAGCCCTGTGTCCTCACCCAGGGTCAGGTGGCTCTGTTGTTTAGGAGACCCAGGGCAGACCTTAGTGTCAGGCTGGCGTAGTCCCGTGTTCATGCAGAGGTGGTCGCTGCCCTCTTTCCCTCCTGATGATGCACTTCTGCAGGAGGCACACTGAGGGAAAATCACTCTAACCCTCTGTCGGTCCCATTTTGTCCACTAAGGTCTGTACTGGGAGGAATAAGGGTTCTGAGGAGCTGGAGCCTGGAGCAGGTTTTGCATCTGGATGTCAATCTCCAGGGAGTCCTGGGCTTACCGACATCCTTTAGAAAACAGATGGGTGGTGTGGGCCCCTTTCTCAACCACAAGTCCAGCTAAGGGCAGGCGCGGGACCGAGTCTCACTGTAATCTAGGCTGGAAGGTGGCTATTTGTACAGAGGCAACCTAAAGAAGGCAGGTGTGTGCACCGAGGCTGGCACGACGCAGGAAGACTAATAAGGTGTAGACAGAAGAGGGACCTCAGGGACCTGTTTTAATGAATATATTAAGGGTTGTCATTAGCATATCCTTGTTGCTATGTGAACCCACTGGTGCCTTCTGTGGTTTTGAACTGGCGCCTGCAATCTCGGTTGCATCGTCAATCTGCGCTGCTAATGTTTCCTTTTACCTCCCAGAATTACTGCATGTTCCAAATCAGCGGAACTCATTTTAGTAAGATTTTACTCTTCCTCTTTAAATTAAATCTTTTTTTCACTTCCCTTTGGTTCTCCAAATTGACTAAGCTTTAAAACATTATTGAATTAGTCAGTCTCACGACGCATTCCACAAATACGGCCTCCTCCGAGCCTCGACATGAGGGGCTCCCTGGCATCTGGTCTGTGGATGTCTGTTCCCTTCACCAGCATCCCCCCCACCCCATGGCTTCTGCCTGGCGAGCTACTATTTGTGCCACGGAACCCTGCTGCTGGGCCTCTGCAAAGCCTTCCCAATTCTACCTGAGAGACGCTGGTTTTGAATTCAGTGCTTGGGAAAAGAAAATGTGTATTTCCTGAGGCACTGGATTTGTATCCACCTTTTTGAAAATGAAATTTGTGTCTGGCTGTGTCCTTGCTGTAGTTTGGATCCCAAGTGTTCCCCAAAGGCTCCTGTGTTGGATGGGCAGTCAGCTAGGTCTGCAGGAAGGTACACTGGGAGGTGGTGGACCCTTTAAGAGGTGGGGCCTAAAGAGAGGTCTTTTGGTCTTAGGGGCGTGCCATGAGGGGACTGCGACTCCAGCCCCTCCCCTTTCCCCTTAGGTGTGTTTCTTGTGAGGTAAGTAGTCAGCTGTGTGTTCCCAGAATGCCGTGCTGCCTGCCAGGGGACTGAAAGCAGCAGGGTCCTCTGGTTGGA